CGATCCCACCTTTACCAGGCCAGGCCGCATCGACGCGTTATTTGGAGTAGATCTAATACCACATTTGTTGCTGCCAGATTTACGGAAAGGAGCTTCAAATCAACCTATTGCTCAACTCACTCAATTGGGTTTGATCGTGTTTGGCCATAGCAATGAAACAAGGGCAAATGTGGTAACCATTCGTTGCCATCAGACTAATCTGGATGCACTGGTAAAGGGTTTCTTCGAACTCGATCAAATCAGCTCTGAGAGGACCTTAACAGCAGAAGAACAATGGTGCGAGGATCATTTCCAGCGTACCTGCACCCGACAACCCAATGGAAAATACCTGGTCCGGCTTCCGTTAAAAACTGAATTTGATAAGGAACAAGTCATCGGAAAGTCTCACCAAATCGCACTCAATGGATTCCATCTCTTAGAACGTCGGCTAAACAGAAACGACACACTTAAACAACAATATCACTCCACCATTAAGGAATATTTTGATCTTAAGCAACTCTCCAAAGTCACTACCGCCGAAATTCGACATCAAATGATCACTCCAAGAGGTCAACAGTACTTCTCATCATGTACTCTCCCACAACACGCCGTGGTAAAGGAGGACAGTACAACGACCAAAGTTCGGGTGGTGTACGATGCATCATGTACCACTTCGAACGGAAAATCCCTTAACGATATATTGTGCATTGGGCCACCGCTACAAAATTATTTAGGTGGAGTCATCATGAAGTGGAGGCTACATCGTTACTTAGCAGATATCCAACGATTGTAGGATAACCAACGCTGTATCGACATGCACCAGGATGACGCTCAATTTCAACGCATCTTATGGAGGAATGACCAAAACGAAATAGCCGAGTACAGCCTAAATACTGTCACTTTTGGTACTGCATCAGTACCGTATACAGCCATACGCGTGCTCCATCAACTCGCTTACGACGAATAACATCGCTACCCATTAGCAATTCCAGTCTTATTAAATGAAGTATATGACGACGTCCAAACTGGTCACAATACTGTTCATGGAGCATTGGATATACGAAATCAACTTATTGCTACACTAAAATCGGCTGGAATGGAACTCAGGAAATGGGCATCAAATCATCCACAGATCTTATCCGGAATTCCTGACCAACACATGGCCCAAAAGAAGCATGTAGAAGTAAATTTCCAGGAGACTATTAAAACTCTGGGACTTTATTGGAGCCCACACAAGGATTTATATAGCTTCAAAATTCGATTTGACCTTCCTACCTCCTTTACTAAACGTTCCTTTCTTTCACTAGTCGCTCGCCTCTATGATCCCTTAGGCTTTATAGTTCCTGTCACTACTGCTGCCAAGAGTATTCTAAAGGACATCTGAAAGTGGCGACCCGAGACATCCGACAAAACCCAACCCGCTCTCGATTGGGACGGCCCGATCGGATACTTCAAGCCCTTTGTGAAGAATTCCGACATCATTTACCAAACATTGAACAGTTGAAAATACCTCGGTGGCTTGGTCACCAGACCGGTGAGCCACAGTCACACCAACTACACGTCTTTTGTGACGGCTCCTCGCAAGCTTACGCAGCCGCTGTTTATCTCCGAATACAATATCCATCCGGGAGAGTGAGCACGACCCTATTGACCGCACGGAGTCGAGTCACGCCCACTAAGCCGCTAACGATCCCTCGAATCGAACTCTTTGGTGCAGTGTTGGCTGCACAACTGGCTAAATGGGTACTAACGCAGTTTTCATCCACCGGAATTCCCATGTCAGTTAATTTCTGGACTGATGCATCAATCGTTTTATATTGGATTAAAGGAAATCCGACCCGTTGGAAGACTTTCGTCTCCAACCGTATTGGCAAGATTTTGGAACTAAGTACTACAACCCAATGGCACCCTGAACCTTCGGGAGAAAACCCAGCCGATTGCACTTTAAGGGGTCTTACTCCTCACCAACTAGCCAGGCATGACATCTGGTGGTTCGGTCCCGATTGGCTACGGGAGGATGAGAATCGGTGGCCGAAGAACACGAACTCTCCTCACCTTGACCAACATCACAAAGAAAGAAGACAACCAACCAACATCACAGCACATGTTTGTTCACTTGGCGACTCAATCATAACCTTTTACTCATCATATAACAAATTGTTAGTTGTTATGGCTTACATCCAAAGGTATCTGCATAACTTACGCCACCCACAAGAACTTCGTCATGTGGGCGCGATTCGAGTACCAGAATTACGAGAAGCTCTACATAAAATCGTAAGGATGGTTTAGAAAGAAGCCTTTTCTCAAGAGATCAGCCGAGTCCTGGCACGAAAATCTCTATCCAGGCACAGCGCTCTTTGCCCGTTTTTAGACGACTTTGGGATTCTGCGACTCAAAGGACGACTGAAGAACGCTCAACAACTGTCCCAAGCACAGAAAAATCCGATCATTATACCCAAAATGCATCATTTTACTGACCTCGTAATCAAAAATGCGCACCTGAACACTCTTCATGGAGGCACCGAGCTCACCTTAGCAACCATTCGGCACACATTCTGGATAGTCAATGGGAAACAAGCAGTAAAAAGAGTTCTACGACAATGTGTCCAATGCTTTAAACATCGCCCAAAGCCTGCCTCACAGTTAATGGGGGATCTGCCACTACATCGAGTCAACCAACCTGGTCGAGCCTTTGAAGTTACTGGCGTCGCATCACACATACAAGGCATATATCGCAGTATTTATATGTTTAGCAACCAAGGCGATACATCTAGAAGCGGTCACAGGACTATCTACTCAACACTTCCTTTGGGCTCTTCAACGCTTTATTGGACGTAGAGGTTTGTGTAAGCATCTATACAGCGATGGAGGAACCAATTCCATCGGAGCAGACAATTCTCTTCGCATATGGCAAAAGGAGTTTCGAAATTCCATCGACACGGACATCGCACCCACTCTTACGGCCCGTGGAATCCAATGGCATTTCAACCCACCGCACAGTCCTAATTTTGGGGGATTGTGGGAGGCGACCATAAAGGCCGTGAAAACTCATCTGTATCGTTCCTTCAAAACTCACTGCTATGACCTATGAAGAACTATCCACGGTGCTTACCCAAATCGAATCATGTTTAAACTCACGTACCCTTATCAGCAAACGATTTGTCCCCACTTACTCCCAGGCATTTCCTTATAGGAGGACCTTTATTGGCACCTCCGGAACCTTCTCTTTCAGACAAGTCCATCAACGCACGCTTCGTCGACGGTCAACGGCTCCAGAGACAATTTTGGCATCGATGGAGCGCCGATTGGCTTTCACATCTTCAAGCACGTCCGAAATGGCGCCAAGAACGAACGAATCTGCAAATTGACGATTTAGTTGTAATCAAAGATGACCGGCTTTCCTTAAACGAATGGAAGATGGCTCGAATAATCGATTTGCATCCTGAAGAAGATGGACTAGTTCGCGTCGCCTCACTAAAAACCGTTTCTGGAACCTATAAGAGATCCCTGTCCAAGTTATGTCCATTGCCAATATCCATCAATCCTATTCCGAAACCTGAAGAAGTCCAATAACACAATAGAAGCTATATCCTGCTGATCCCAGCATTCAAGGGGCGGCATGTACGGGCGTTATTTATCTTTTCGATTTATCGCTCCATCTTCAGCGAGCTTAGAATCCACCCAGATTTCTCCCTGTAATCTTTGCAAAGTTTTCCTTGTCTGGTCTCTCCCCTAGTAAAGTTATTGTTTTAAGAAGAGTCTTAGAGCAAGCAAGGCGATCGAAGTAGTGGAGAAGGTCAGAAAAAACCACGCAGGATTAAAAGCTGACCCATTAAATATAATTGTAAATTACCCAACATAAATTAAGCAAGTAAATAAAATGAAGTTCAATGCATAACTGTGTCTAGTCGTTTGGATTCAAAACCCCCGAGCAGAACAGTGCTCAACTATGACATTACGCCCATGAACGGCATAAAGATTTCTCGGACAAAATGATTTTAATGCAAATAAACTCAATGTCACCAAACTCTTGTGATTTCACCTCTTCAGAAGCAAGAGTGGAGTCTACCGAAATGAGGACTCGTTGAGGTCGATCCCTTCTAAAAATGGTGTACTTAGTTGGAAAAACTTCGGAGCTCAAGATCTCCGGCTTTAACCAAGTTTCTGTAAATGCTATAATATGCGACGCAAAGAAAGAACTATCAGAGTATAGTTTGGGGAGTTTGCTACAAAGCCCCCTAGTATTCTGATAGGTAAGTGTTAGTGACGATACTAGATTTTTGGGTTAGTGGACGAAGAAGAGATGGATGGTATGTTGGTGGTTCTAATATGTGGAAGTTTCACTCCCACTGGTTTTAAACGTTTTTTCTTTTTAGTACTAGGCCGATGTTATTGGACGAAAATGTTCTCTGACCAAAAGCTGGGTGAACAAATCGTCTTGAACATCAGCGCAGGTAAACGAATCTTGAAAGAAGACGTGCGACTTACATAATTATATTTACATTTCGCTATGTCCTCCACCTTAATATCGGCTTTAGTTTTGGCTTTGATATAAGCCGAGATATCAATCTCTGAAGTATCAGAAAAACAAGTACCGAGAAACAAATATATGTTTTGATGGAGGAATCGCCTGTAAGGGTTTTGGTGTCGCAGGTACGAGAACTGCAGCATAAGTCGGTGCCGGTGGTCCGGACTGTGGAATACCCTTTTGGGTGACTCTGACTCTGGGGGTTTCGTTTACTACGACCTGTGGTACCACTTGAAGAGATACCTTCAAAAAGGGATACCTTTTTCGCTCAGTGAATGTCCTGTTCTCATTATTTTATGCTGCTTACGGACAGATTAAATTTAATAGAAATTCATCAAAATTGATTCATTGGAGGATACTGCTAAATAACAAGAAAAAGTGAACAAACAATTCAACGATTACATTTGTAAAGTTTTAACTTAATTTTCTTGCTTACCTGTCCAATAATTCAACGATTACATTTGTAAAGTTTTAACTTAATTTTCTTGCTTACCTGTCCAATTTGTTCCATTAATTTATATTGATTTAATTGAAGAAAGCTTCCAGATTTTTCCAATGAGATTCTTCGAGATTCTCGAAAATTAGGTCGCCGGCGGTTACATCGAGGACTACCAAATGGACTGGCATATGGACTATATGGAACGTTTGGGTAAATAGGCCGGATTTCAGCCGATTGATATTTTAAATCGTTAGGTGCGATACTGGGAAACTTTTGAATACCTTCATTTTTTAAACGAAAGCCTTCATGAATATTTCTAGTTATCTTTGATATTGAATTTGAAATTTCAGTTAAATTAAAGTTTTCCACTTTTACATTATTGCAAATTGGTTTATGTTCATTATTTAAATCCAGGGATTGTGACTTGTGAAGCTTGGTTCTTGTGGTTACTTGATTTGTATTAATTTGTGGAGACTCGTCGAGTTTAATTTGTTTTGAACTTTCACAACCATTTTGAATGTCAGACTCAAATTCTGGAACTTCTTCTTTGGTACACTTCATATTATGCTCAAAAGAAACGATCATGGGCTCAGGAACATTCTTATCACGCAATCTGTTAATAAAATCTAAGTTTTCTACTTTCAATTCTGCTTCAATTTTAGATTCTTGCGTTATTTTCAATGATGATGAGGAATCCATGTTTCATTTATTTATGGTATGTTTAATTATTTCCTATTATTCCTAATAGTGAAAATAAATCAAAAAAATTAAAAAAGATTAATTAAGTTAATTAATTTGTTTAATTTGTTTGTTTAATGTACTTATTTGTTTATAATGTACTTAGTTGCGAATATACCCAATCAAATAAAAGCATCTTGACGTAAAATACCTCAAAACAATACCTGGAAAGAAAAAATGCAATATACAATAGATATACAAAACTACACATTACCAAATATTCTTACATGGTGTCTTTTTTTTACTCGCATGTGGGGAATAATACTATTATTTAATGTGTAGTTTGACAATGTGTAATGTCAAACTATCTTAATATATTCGTATATATTAAGCCTATGTATATCTGTTATAAGTTATAAGCGCGTTGTTTGGAGTGCATACGCTGAAATTACGCTGAGAATACGCTTTTTAAAACAAACGCCGAAAATTTCAAATGTTCGAGTACAGCCCGTAAAACACCGAGCTAGGCTTGGGATCCCGGAGGCCATGGCTGCTCTGCTGTGGTCTAATGTATAAGTGCTATACATTAAATCCTTCAAGACCTTTAGCATAAGAATTAACCCACTTGGTGTTCCACCTGTAAATCAATTTTTTATCTCATGCATATCCCTTTCCATTTCTGTAATTGCCATCTCGGCTGAAACCAAATCAATATCCTTATTAAAAAAAAAAAAAACAAATTCTATAACTCTAACCTATTAGAATTTTTTGGGGTTACGATAGTTCTTCATTTACATTATCGACTTAAAGACATTTTATAAAACTTAAAAAAATATTTGTCTCACAAACTTATACGCATTAGCCAAACCTACAACTGGCTGTTGTGAAGCATTTGAAAAATATTGAGTAACTCAGTTATTTATTTATAGGAATTATATTCAAGATCCGAAAAAGTTTTATAATTTTTTAAAAACTAAGCGTAAATATATTACGAGTCTGCATAAATAGCCAAAATACGGAATTCAGATACACAATCTTGAAAATAAATGAAATGATGCAGAAACGAAAAAAAAAAAATTGAAAATTATGAGGCACGTGCAAGAAAAACTAATCAAAATACAAACACGTGCCGTTTAAAAATAGTTTTGGATTTGTGTTTACCTAATGTGTAATATACCAACATATATTGAATGTTTTCGTCACAATGTGGCAGTGGCTTGCGGGTTCTTAACCGTTAGTTTACCTCTTCAAGAGGGTTTTTTATTTTATTCATTATTATTTCGTGTAATTCTTTGCCGCTCTCTTCTGACGCAGTAGTTGCACAAGGTCGTAGTGGTGATTAAACTTGCTACAGCGAACATTCTTGTTTGTAGTCGCGCTGGAGCCCTAGTTCCATGCCGAGCTCTGTTGGATTCTAGATCACAGGAGCACGTGATTCATTCCCGACTGGCTAGTCAGCTGCAGCTTCGAAGGTGCATATTTTACATGGCGGCGTCTTACATGGCACAACCAAAACGGTTGTGGCGATTTTGAAACTCCAGCCTAGTTTCAGTTTGGATATCTCCAGTTTGAATCTTTCGGGCAATCTTTCTTTGGCTTTTTCCGGCCACAGCATATCGATCTGTTTATCGGAGCTAGTCTTTTCTATGAGCTGCTGTGGGAAGAATCTTACTCCCAAGCTGTGCGACGATTGCTCTCCCGTGAAAAGAAGCTCTGCCGCCGTCCTCAATTAAATGAGCAATATGCTGCCTTCATAAAGAAGTATTTGGGGTTGGGTCATTTGTCTCCAGTGCCTACAGATAAAAATGTCACTGGCCAGTACTTCCTGCCACACCATTACGTTTTAAAGGAGGAAATTCAATATCCAAGCTCAGGGTTGTTTTTGATGGATCTGTTGTCACAACTTCTGGATATTCATTGAATGACGTGTCGATGTCTGGCCCAGTTATTCAGCCAAAGTTGATGCATATTCTGTAAAGATTCCCTGGATGATTGCTAACACTGTGTTTGCTCTGAAACCAGCATTGAGGTTTGTATGCTGGATATGCGATTTATTACTCTGCTCGAAGTCCCGAATAGCGCCTTTTAAGTATTTTTGCTGGTGCGATTCTGCTGCGACTGTCTTAAATTTGAGAAGAACCCGCTCGCTTTGATATTTTCGCTTATATCGCACACTTATGATGTTATCTAGTACCAATCGAGTTTTGACTATACTCTCTTTCCTCTGTAAAGTAAAATAAGTCGATTCAGTCGGAATTGGCCAACTATATCCTATAGCTGCCATATAACTGATTGATCGTAAATGCATTAATCGATGTCAATAGATCAAGATGTGACCGGCAAATTATTTGCTGCAAACCTTTGGTGAAAGTGGTTTTTGTTGCGTTCTCTGATAAAGTATCCGATTCAACAATGGACTTTGCCATCTGGATGATCTATGCAACAAAATGTACAACCTCTTCTTCGAAATTTGTATTTACTTGAGCAGTGAATGGTTATTGGCATTCCATATTAATTATCGTAGAATCTGCATCGATTATTTAAACTTTTGTGCGACCTATTGTATGACCATGTTCCGGTTTTTAAAATTATTTGCTTGGTGATTGGAATTATAGCTGCCATTTTTTTATGTGACTGTCTTGAAGCCTGGTTCTTGTCGCATGCGACTCTAAACTTTTTGTACACCACCCAGCCTTATAGTTGGCCTTGTGGCCCTTCTTTGTTGGTAGAGCAGTGAGGTGAATTTTGGGCGTGCCGGCAGACGACACAGACAGCCCGAAGTGGAACTTAGTACAGATTATATTTTTGGTCAGGTAATCCGACCTACCAAATTTGATAACGATCGACCGACTATATCTTATAGCTGCCATATAATTGAATGATCGGAAATAGTTTTTGGTAGAAATACCAACTTTTGTATTTTTAAGATAGAAGCTTGGGGCTTTTTTTAGATATTGTATTGTAATTAATTGGTTATATTATGATGTTCTCATAGGGATCTACCAAAAACATCCGATGTTTGCGATAAATATACGGTTTTAACTTTAAGCGATATCAACTTCGGCTCCGCCCGAAGTTAGCTTTCCTTTCTTGTTGCTGTTGGTTTTGGTACGGTTGCAGAAATGGTATCACTGCTTGTTGTTGTAATAAGATGGGCTGTCTTATACTGTGAATTTTATGACGTGGGAGTCAGAGTGAGCAGTGCGAAAAAGCAAGACCGTGACCAGTGGTCAGTAGAGTCTCGGCTTTACATAACAACGATCTCCAATAACGATTTTGCCATATTGGTATCGTCGGCTTAAAAGTAAGTATAAAAGCCACTTCTTTGGTTTACTGAGCTTTTACACTCATTCTTTTGTTTTTGTTTTTTTTTTATATAGTTTTATATTTTTTTTATATAGGGATGCCTACTTATTCTTTCTCCGGGAGAACAGGGTTGTTAGTACCTGCCCATGCTAATTCGTCAGCGGACCAACTTCCCTTGTGGTCCCTGTGTCCGGTCACCCACATGAGGTGGAGTCATACTGCTCCGCCATTTCGTTGAGAGATTTGCTAAAGTAATTTACTATCCAAAAGTTGGATGAGAAACCGTCAAGAGCCATGAGTGCTGCTCTACTATCTGAGAATATAAAAATCGTTCCTTGAATTCCAGCAAGTTCTGGGGATCTAAATTCTGGGGATTATGGCTCTGATTCAAGAGCCATGAGTGCTGCTTCACTATCTGAGAATATACAAATCGTTTCTTGAGCTCCAGCAAGTTCTGCGGATCTAAATGCTGGAATAGCTAGGACTTCAGCTTGAAACACAATGCAGTAGTCGGGGAGTTTGAAGGACTCATTTAGACAAAGACGCTCGCAATCGAGACCACCTCCCACCTATATATGAAGGGAACCAGCTGGTCCCGGGATTTTTACAGTCCATTCCTCCCTCAATGGGATAGAGAACTAATAGTTTGAGGTGGGATAGTGGGGTGCTACTCCTCTCGTAGCGTAATTGCCGTTGGCGTGGCTACCTTGACACCCATTATCTCTACGGGCAGTAGGTCGAAGATGAAGTATAAAGCGTCAGCTGGTGTGGTGCGAAGGCTACCTGTAGGGCTGACCTCCGCCATTCCTAAACCTTTTCCTACATGAGGAGTTTGAAAAGGCAAACCACCAGACTACTACCCCGTAGAATAGCATAGGTCTAAGAACCGCCTAGGTGTAATATAAAAAGTTGGATAGGTCACTTAGTGCCTTTCCGACGAACGCGTGCTGCGAAATGAAATGTCATTTAGGTTGATGGTAAAATAGATGTGGAGGCTAATAAGCCTCTTGGTTGTCTTGTGAAGAAAGAACGACAGACTTATTGGTCTGAAGTCTTTAGGGAAGCAGTGCGAGGGCTTTCCCGCTTAGGGGATGAAAGCCACCTTCGAGTGAAGCCATGGCTCTGGTACAATGAGGCGTGAAGATTGTTCAAATAATAATAAGCTTACTTGGAGTAAATACTAGGAGGCAAAGAAAAATGAAATAAACGTTTATTATTAAAATTTTAATATAAATTACTATTACTTATGCAATGCAGTTCTGAAACCTATTTGGATCAAAGGCTCGGAAATTAAGGGGCTCATCCACAAGCGAGCATATTGGCGAACATGTTGGGCTCGCCGAAATTTTTCCCGTGGATGGCAGTGCTTGTCGTCAAATTTTTGTTCGCCAAAATGCTCGCATGAAATTGAAATCATTTTATTTTATCTACGTTGGCTAGAACATGCTCGCCAATAGATCGCAACGAACATCATTTGGGAAAACGTTTAGTAGCGAGAACAAGTGTTTGCGCAGCGCAAAATGAGTAAAAAATTAATTGCAATTAATGCAATTAATGTGAATTATATTTTTTCCTTTTTCCTAAGCAAATCTTTTATGCCATCGGTGCAAATACTGTCCGATCTGTCCGTTTTTCGTTGACATGTTGATTGCTTGAAAGTTCATCGAAAAATTATGTTCGCGCACATGTCGGCTGTAGTTGGTGGGCAAATTAAATTCCCTTTAGATAAACTTAGATTACTCTAGAGAGCTCGTTTAAAGATATTGAGAACTCACAAAGATCTATGGGTTGCATATGTCAACGATAAAATTTGCAAAAATATTAAAGTCCCGTCCCAACAAACTAGCGCAGTTCCTAACCTGGCACGCTAGACATAAATGACACCCTCGAAGGGTCCTGCCCACCTAGCTATATATGTAAGTCAGAACCATATTACAAGTATTTATGTTTTGAAATTATGTAATTAAATAAATACATAAGTCTCTACTTGTCGTCATTCTGTAAACAGAAGTCGATAAGTACACGAGCAAAAAAAAGCTTACTTCTGGCGCAGCCGAAATTATTATACGCGACTAGGGAGGAAGAAGAAAGAAACCGATCAGGAAAAAACATAAAAAGGTGTCAGCCACACACACTGGTGCGTATGAACAACGGTTTCCTGGTATGAACGAGGCGCGACCCCGGTTCTAGGGCCCGGCACAAGTCCGGCAGTGGGTATGCATGCAGTGGCTTAAACGGTAGGAAGGCCTTTCGTGCCCCTTGTCCGGTGTAAAAAACTACATATTCCGCACGTCGTATGCCTGGGTCAGTGGCCGGATCAGATATAAATTTTAAGTCTCTCCCGAGTGACCTTTTTTCCAATCCTCCGATTGTACCACTATGTAAATTCGTATAAATAATCATTGGCCCAAAAAACAAAAATTTATCGTGAAGGAAATGTGTACTTCGGCTGCATCCGAAATTATTATAACTTGCATTTTTTCTTAACTTTCTGTGAGTTTTCTTAAGCTTGTCGGATTTGGTAGAGCATGAAACTTCCAACTCTACACTTAAGAGTACAAATCAAAACGAAAATGACTGTTTGTGTTTTTAATCTATTGTTTAATTTTTTTTTAAAACAAAACAACATTTAAAGATAAACTTAATAAGCTTTGCCTATTTCTCGAAAAAGATTAAGAACTAGAAGCTTAAATTATTTGTAAAGCGTTGCAACTAAATTAAACCAGTATGGGAGCTATATAAAAAGACTAGATTTATAATATTTGGTTAGTTGGTCGTATTTTCCGTACTTCTTTTGACAGGTGATCCTTAATATTTTCACTGCTAGCTTTTCTAGGCACTGCTAGGACGTGGTACGAGCGCCTCAAGCTTGAAGTGATCCTGGATGTCGCTGTGGTGCATGAAAATAAGTCGCTGTGGGTTCGCTGTGGCCAAGACAACGAAAAGTATTTCAAAAAAGATTTTCCAAAGCGACTTTTTCAACGTCGACAGCTTAAGAAACGAATTGATGGAGGCACAATTTATCATCAACTCGCGACGGCTCACATATCTATCTCTGGACTCCGAGGAAGTCGTCGCCCTGGTTCCAAACCACCTGCTGATCGAAAGCATCCCTTAGAAGCCTGTATGAGTCGAGGCCAGCAGGTAAAGAAGGGCAGTCACCCTTCCAACATAAACTTCCTAATTCATGTTTGGGAATTCTTCGGTCAGCCGGCCAGCAGCTAGCAGTGGACCTATCGTCCACCCCATCGATGTATCTTTAACTGCGAGGAATCCGAGAAGACGAGAGAATCCGCCGTTTGCTGACGTTAATTCGCAGTTCTAGGATTCGCAGGATTCTATTATTTGATTAATTTACTTCATCGCGTCGCGAATGGTTCCTGCTTTCTGTTAAATACGTTTACATGCATCTTAATGCTTTTTTACCATGTAAATACCCATAAATACCTAGAGGTACCTAAAAGCTAAAAATTATACATATTTTAAATGTAAAAACGAAAAAGGAAATTGTAGTATCTATATACTTAAATTTCTCAGATTATATTATATTATAATATAACGGTAGAAATAAAGTGGTACTATTTAAAATGAGTTCTAAAATATATTTTTTAATTTTTCAATTCACAATGCTTAGATATAATCTTGACTATATATAGACTATTTTAATTGACTATTAAAAAAGTAAAAACATTCTTTAAGTTGCTTTGACATTTGATTATAAGGGAAATTATTTAATAGGCAAGATTGGCGAAAAGAATTTGGGGTTGGTAATTGTAAGTCTCTGTTAACACTATCATGTGTATTTTCCATTTTGGTAACAGAAATGCCACTTTTTTTTATTTTTATATTTAAATAAAGCTCAAGCTCACTAAGTTTGTTAAATAGATTTTCAAAGTCTCCTTCTGCGTTATTAAGAAATTGACATCTTATGCTAAAACTTGCAAAATTTATGCAATTTAAAAGTCGCTGAATTCGAAACTCAAGCTGTTTTACTATGTATTTAGCGTTTATCTTTGTTACAGAATACATGTCAAAAGCGATTTGCAGTTTATCCGCAGTAGCGCACTTAAATAGCCTTGCAGAATGATGATGTAAAAAATCTGCATACAATTTGCAGCAATCCAGGTCAATCTTCAGTTTCCAGTTATTAAGAATATCATTTTGAATATTAGCATAGGAAAAAAAAAGCTTTTTTATGGTCTGCAATATCGTCGTGGTATATTCCAAAGCCTCGTCGACCACTTCGGAAAGCAAAATATGAAAGAACTCCATTTCCGAAAAATAATTGGTTAACAATAGTTTTACGTGCGTTGGTTGAGCTTTTGGGACTTGTCGTAGTTTTAACAATAAAAGATTACTTGTAACTTTTATGATCTCAAAAAATTTTTCACTTTCAATGGAAAAGTTTTCTACTGACTGGGAAGCTTCATAAAAAAACATAGATAACTCTTGCAACCTATGCATATATTTGGCTGCATTCGGAGTATCATTTTGGAAAGTACTGAACACTGTTGATATGGTTAAATTTCTTTGAATATTTTCTAAGAAATGTAGTAGTTTACGTTGCAGATTTAGTTTAAATGTATTTGAATTATCCATGGAAAAATAAAATTCTTTGGGAATTTGTTCTCCGGTACTAGTTGATAATTTATGATGATTATTACTGTTGCCAATAGCTCCTGGAGCCTGAACACTCCAAACGAGGCATTGTAAAAATAGTACCGTTACAGAGTTCAAAATCATTGAATTATTTGTAATTTTTTCTCTTCAGAACAACCTCTATATCCAAAAACTAAAATAGAACTGAATTTAAATTCATACTTTCTATAAATATACATGATGAAAAGCAAAATGACGAGAATTAAAAACCCATTTTATTAGATAATATCAAAAAAGAAACTAAAAGGGGCTTAAAATAATGTAAATTATTTCATTTTACTTTATATTTGGAAATATTTATACACACGTATTCTTTTTGATTCCAAATTAGTCTTTTTCATGTAAAAAAGTATTATGTTAACTTGAGTACACATACGTACAAACTACAAAACTTTCTAAAAATACTAAAAACAAGAAAGGAAAGCTAACTTCGGGCGGAGCCGAAGTTGATATACCCTTGCAGCTAAAAACCGGATATATATCGCAAAAATCGGATATAGTTGGCCGATCCTTATGATTAAATCATAATAAAACCATAAATTACAATAAAAAATCTAAAAAAAAGTCCCAAGCTTCTATCTTCAAAAATACGAAAGTTGATATTTCTACCAAATACATTTCCGATCGTTCAGATATATGGCAGCTATAGGATATAGTCGGCCGATCATAATGAAATGAGGTAGGTTGGATCAACTCACCAAAAATAGAATCTTTACTACGTTTCAGCTTTCTATCTTCAAAAACACGAAAGATGCATCATTTCCAATCGTTCAGTTATATGGTTGCTATATGATATAGTCGGCCGATCCTTATGAAATTTGGCATGTCGTAATGTTTTGCCAAAAATAGCTCTCATGTAAAATTTGATCTCTCCAACTCTAAAAACACCAAAGTTATACCATTTCCGATCAATCAGTTCTATGTCAGCTATAGAATATAGTCGACCGATCCCGGTCGTTCCGACTTATATACTGCGTGCAAAGGAAAGAAGAGTGTGTGCAAAGTTTCAAGTCGATAGCTTTAAAACTGAGAGACTAGTTCGCGTAGAAACAGACAGACAGACGGACAAACGGACAGACGGACATGCTCATATCAACTCAGGAGGTGATCCTGATCAAGAATATATATACTTTATAGGGTCGGAGATGTCTCCTTCACTGCGTTGCACACTTTGGATCCTTTTCGTTTATAAGGATCGGCCGACTATATCTTATAGCTGCCATATAACTGATCGATCGAAAATTACCCAACTTTCGTGTTTTTGAAGATAGAAAGCTGGAACTTGGTACAGATTATATTTTATGTCAGTTAATCCAACCTACCAAATTTTATAACGACCGGCTGACTATATCTTATACCTGACATATAGCTGTCATACTGAACGATCGGAAATGGTTTTTGGTAAAAATACCAACTTTGGTATTTTTGAAGATAGAAGTTTGGGACTTTTTTTAGATTTTATATTGTAATAAATTGGGTTATATTATCATATTCTCATAAGGATCGGCCATATCCGATGTTTGCGATATGTATCCGGTTTTAACTGCAAGGGTATATCAACTTCGGCTTCGCCCGAAGTTAGCTTTCCTTTCTTGTTTTTAAATACATTAGTTTATTTGTACAAATTTTTAAATTTCTTTCTTATTGAAAACTGGCGTGCAGAAGTAACTTGGAACCCGTCATAAATCATAGCTGGGGTGAAAATTGTGGGTAATTTCCGATCGTTTAGGTATGTGGCAGCTGTAGGATAATGTCAGCCGGTCGCCTTAAAAATTGTTGTCAAAAAAATTATATTTTTGCCAAAAACAGAATCCATAGAAAATTCCAACTCTCTAACTCTAAAAACACCAAAATTATAACCTTTACAATCAATGGTCTAGGATATATTAGCTCTAGGATATATAAGCAGCCGATCCCGGTAATGACCAAAATATAAAAATATATCAGATAACCATTACCTTCCTTCCGACTGCCGATTAACACGGCAGCAAGAATAGTTCAAATGGTACAACTCCAAAGCACAACATTTTGAATCCATACTTGTATATATACATACATATGTACATACATATACGGATGTGCCTATGTACACAGGTATGCGGCACCAAAGATTATAAAGTACATACATAGATGGGACATCAGGGCCCAAAACTGTCAATTTTTTTTGTCGAGCTTTTTGGTAAGGGGGGAACGCACATGCATACGAATATATTTTTAAAACTCAAAAACATGTATGCGTAAAAAAAATGTGAACCTTTGTATGTATGTGTGACTGCTCGTTTTTGTAGAATTAATTAATAATTAAAAACACCTAACATTTTTTAATTCAGTTTATTAAATTAAGTTATTAAAAAAAAATTTAAGACATTTAAAAAAAAAATGGGCGTGGTTCCGCCTTTTTAATTGATTTTTTATTTTTATTGTAAAAATAAAACTAAATTTTTTTGTTCTTTTTATTACAATAATGCTAGTTTTATGCATTTAGTAAAAAAATGGGCTTTGTCGTACTTTTTTCTTGCGGGGAATTCGCTCTGTTTTTGTGGCATTAATAAATAACTTGCAAACGAGGCAACATATTTTTTTGGTGTTTTTTTTCTAGTGCTATTTTGAGACAAGTTTTAGAAGCAAAGTAGGCGTGTCCCACCTCCGCTCCAAGCTTTTTTTTTTGGACCCACACTTCCAGCAGCACCCCATTTCTGATTTTAACCATCCTTCCTAAAAATTGGAATTTCGCAAAAAGGCGCAATTGAACCTAGACGTTCTGAATTAAGAACTTATGTCACTATAAGATGGATATATAATATGGATACGGATATGTATATAGATATGTATACGGATGGATATGGATAATATGGATTTAATATGGATACAAATCTAAACATTTTTTTAAAACTCTTTTAAAACCAAAGTTGATCTTTTATTACGAAAGCTTTGTACGGACACCACCTTCTAGAATTAAAAATTGTTAAAAACAAACGAACGAATTCGGCAAAATATTAGAATTAACAAATAGTATAAGCCTGGAGCATGGCTATCCATTTTAAATTTTATTGATTTGTGCTTCAACGTTCAAGAAATATTAATTTGAAAACACACTACAAAATGAAGCCAAATGTAAACACGAAACTTAATTTCCCAACAGCTGACTTCAATCGTTGGCATTTTAATAGTTGACTGGAAAAATACCATTTTTGGTATGTACGATTAGATAGTGGTGCATTGTTAATACAGTAAAACTTAAATATCCAAAAATGGAATACTTTAAAAAAAAACACATTTATGCCACAAAACAGGGCAAATTCCCCAGTGTGCGGCGTAAAAAAGTGTTGGCTTTGGCCCAACGTTTCTGTTAACAACGCGCCGATGTGGTAGTAGGACAAATAGTGATTGTGTTCAACACCGATCAAGTCAGGATGTTATTAATGCATAGAGTAGTTGCTCTATGTAGAATTTTTCAAAATTCAAATCCTGCTTAAGATTTTGATGTTTTTCTTTTTTTTTTAATTATCTTTAAGCTTTATCTTTAATTGAAGTATCAAAGAAAAAAATTGAAAATTATGAGCGCTAAAAAAAGTTTAAAGGGAGTCTGTCAGTCATTTTGTCATCCGACACGTCAGTCAGTATTTTCCCCATTCCGCTAATTTCTCTTAATTTAAAACATAAGTTAATTTTTAAAAATTGAAACAACCGCCCACTAATAAATTCGAACCCAGGACCCCGAGGATAAGGAGCCGCTCGCTTTCCATCTAGGCTAACATCAAAATTGATTAAATGATACTTAAAATTGGTTTTAAAATAAGCTCGAGAATCCATACCAAAAACTGAGCTGAAGAGTAAAGATAGTAGAAGATATTTCGGAACTCTTTGCTTCTACACTGGTTCGATTTGAACTTTAGAAACTTTCATCGTTCCAAAGATGTTACGTTCAAAAAATAGATTTCTCTCTTTCTCTCTCTCCTCTGCCAGCCGTTTGTCGTGGAACCCGCTTTCAAAAGTTTTCCACGAGGGGGTTACACGACGCGGCCTGACAATATGCCGTAGAACCGGCACTTATAGAGATTTTTACAGCGGGTTCCACTACAAATTGAGGCAATTTTAAGGTGATTTTAAAATTTTGTATTTTTTTTATTGAATTATAATTATTTTTTATAATTTTGGATAACACTTAAATCAATAAAAATTTATTATAAATAGATTTAAAATAAAAACAAGAAAGCAAAGCTAACTTCGGGCGGAGCCGAAGTTGATATACCCTTGCCGTTAAAACCGGATATATATCGCAAACATCGGATATAGTTGGCCGATCCTTATGATTAAATCATAATAAAACCATAATTTACAATAAAAATTCTAAAAAAAAGTCCCAAGCTTCTATCTTCAAAAATACGAAAGCTGATATTTCTACCAAATACATTTCTGATCGTTCAGTAATATGGCAGCTATAGAATATAGTCGGCCGATCATAATGAAATTTGATAGGTTTTGCTAAAAATAGCTCTCATGTCAAATGTGAACTCTCCAACTCTAAAAACACCAAAGTTATACCACTTCCGATCGATCAATTATATGGCAGCTATAAGATATAGTCGGCCGATCCCGGTCGTTTCGTCTTATACACCTTTACACTGCGTGCAAAGGAAAGAAGAGTGTGTGCAAAGTTTCAAGTCGATAGCTTTAAAACTGAGAGACTAGTTCGCGTAGAAACAGACAGACAGACGGACATGCTCATATCAACTCAGGTGGTGATCCTGATCAAGAATATATATACATTATAGGGTCGGAGATGTCTCCTTCACTGCGTTGCACACTTTTGGACAAAATTATAATACCCTCTGCAAGGGTATAACAAGAAAGGAAAGCTAACTTCCGGCGGAGCCGATGTTTGTATACCCTTGCAGTTAAAACCAGATAAATATCGCAAACATCGGATATAGTTGACCAATCCTTATGATTGCATCATAATAAAACCAATTAATTACAATAAAAAATTTAAAAAAAAGTCCCAAGCTTCTATCTTCAAAAATACGAAAGTTGATATTTCTACCAAATACCATTTCCGATCGTTCAGTTATATGGCAGCTATAGGATATAGTCGGCCGATCCTTATGAAATTTTGCGTGTCGTAATGTGTTGCCAAAAATAGCTCTC